TCAAAACATGGAAACTACCATGATCATGCAACACTAAGATTTATAATTAACTCTTAACCTAGAAAACATCTCTAATGATCACTAGGAGTATAAAAGGGTTGATTGTGCGTTACCTGGCCTCCTTGGTTGCTAAAATATCCCTCAACATATCTAGGAGTCACCTTACTTTTATCCTTTGCTTTAGAACTTCGCCCACCTCATTGGCTAATCAAAACAAAACTAGGGGTTACTAACTTGTCTTTGACTTGGAAACTAAGTGAAAACACTCTACACTACTTAATTTTACTCAAAACAAGCTTAAATCTCCAGATTCCTTTCAAACTCCCAAAAACCCATTTTGAAAACAAATTCTAAAACTCACAAAATAGAGCTTGAAACAAAGCTTGAAGGATGAAGAAAACATTTTTACCTTGGCTAAACAAATCTAAGATTGGAATGCTTGAAACTTGGCTCTTGAAAGGAAGAAGAAATGGAAACCAATGGAAGGGAGAAGAATTAGAAGAAGAAGAAGAGTGGGTGAGATATTAAGGGGGTCGGTTTACATGAAATGATATAAAAAGATGGGGAAAGATATCAGTTTCAACAAAATAGGTAAACTGCTCTTTAGGTCCTTCACATATTAACTCACTTTAAAACTATCTCTTAGCTTTAACTCTTGGGCCTACCTTTGGCCCAACACCTATATAACTTGGTCCAACTATCTTAGGAGGTCTAATATGCTTGAGTTAAAGGTCTTGGGTTGACCCAAACTACTTGTAATACCCTAATTTTTTTCGAACGATTTAAATCCATTGAAGGCGGTCGAGTGTCAGTTTAAAGACGTTCACACATGTCGTCAAATTGGTTTGAGTGGCTCGCCTAGGCGAAAAGAGTTTTAGGCTTTAAGAAATGTCGAACATTTATTTGGGTTCAATAACCATACGTTTTTTATGATTGAATTTTAAAGACGAAACATGGGTTAACCAAGTTAGGTAGCAAATTCAAATATCCATTTACAGTCCATTATACAAAATACAACCGAAATTAAATTCTCATTCTATATTTAACCCTCCACCCACCTCATATGTACCCAACCCCATACAATTTCAATACCCAAATATTGGCCCATACGAACCCCAAGCCCGTCTAGCCATCATCAAAACTCTTGTGAGATAGGGCAACTCAAAAGGTAACTCCCATTCTCAACCGCCTCCTTTTCTTATCTTAAACCCTCTCTCGATGAGAACTCAAAAGGTTCTCAGCTAACATCACTCGCCACCGTACGTTGGTGGCCTCGCCGCTTCAACCTCATCGATTCTGACCGAGAACCTAAGATCCACCTCCGAGAGAAACCTAAGAACAACCCCCGACAACGAACCTAGCTCCGACGTCCGACTACTAAAGCAAAGGTGAATGGAACGTTCATTTTTATTTCCTCACCCTATTTTGATTCGAATGAAAGAGATTGGAAATGAACGAAGAGAAAGGCTTCAATACCTTTAAGAAAAACACTCAGAAATATGATATATCTTATATGTGATTCTATGTTTTTCGAATGGAAAAAGGGAAACTTTGTGTATTGCTTGGTTCTCTAAAAATGGGGATCAATTGATTCTTTCTATGAAATATGCTTCTATTTCGAAAAATGGAGAGAGGAAGACCCCTCTGTTACAATCGTTATGGGTTTTTATATTACCCGTTTTTTTAGAGCATGAAAAGGTAAAATGAAAAGATCTTCTCAATCCTTCTTTATGTTACAACCGAATCATAAGAACAATTACATTTTTCTGTGCCTTGTTTTTGCATGGCTGATCTGTTGGAGATGAAACGGACTCGGGATCCAGTGCTGACATGGAATGTGAAGATCTGATAGAGGCTTGGAGAAGGTTCTGGAATACCACAGCTGGCATGTGGAGGCGATGGCTGGGATGCATAGAAGTTTGGCGACGGTGGCATGGGCCTCAATCAGTAACCTGCATCATATGTGTCGTGGAACACTTCTACAACGCCATTCTCGTAGTTTCTGATCAATATAGGTAAGTAATCTTCCACTTTAGCCTCTCTCTGAATTTTAAGTTTTGGTTGTTTAACTCAAGTGGTTTTTGAATTTAAATCACTTTTACGTTGATTTCAAGATATAAACATTGTTCTGTTTTAATTTCTAACGTGAAAACAAAATAAAGATTCAATTGTTTATTCAATTCATTGTATATTTTAGAATGAGAAAGGATAAATATATGGCTTTTTGGTTCTCATAATCTCCATATGATTCCCAAATTTGAAAAATCAAAATCCTTTTTACCTTTTGCTTATACTTTGTCACCCATATACTTTGCAATGATGTAAATTGGTTTTAAATATCTACTTCGTTCTTAGATTGTTAAAGGTGTAATCGAAAATTATTTTTGACTCTTTAATAATTACTCGATTTCTCATATAGTTTAATTTGTAATTATTAAATTTGGACGTTTTATTTTTATTTATTTATTTTGATTTTAGTTTGCTTGCTGATTTCATAAGATGAAACTCTAATACCAAATAAATCTTATACATTTTTTATGCATTCTTGTTCCGGATAATATTGATACGAGTATAAATCGGCATAAGGCGATATTGCAAATAGGGAGAAGTATGGTGTCTTTAATTAGTTGTACATATTTGCTTTGCACGTTGATATGTTTACATATGTATGAGCATCCGAATAATTAATTTAAGAATCACATGATTTCATTTCTGCATCAATTTTGTATGAGATGTATGATATCCTACCAAGAGCATGACCTAACTCGATTAAAATAATTGGATTAAGGGGGTAATACCCTTTCATTTTAACATCGTTGTGAGGAGATTGTCTTAACTTATAAGAAAGTCGTTTCCGATGATTTTAAAATGAAAATATATCTCGCTAAGTGAAACCTTAAAATTTGATCTCATCTAAAATTGGGAATGAGAGAACAAGAAATGTAAGGTTCGATCTCGACTTCTTTAAATAATTGAGTATTCTTGTTCTTTCTAAAAAGATTGATAATTTTTAATTTAATTTGTTTAATTTCGTGCATTTGAATATTGCAATGAAATTGTAATATTTCTTTATTTCGATTGGAATAAGAATTGATTGCCTCAAGGAATGAAGGGTTGTTTCTTCTTGATAGGAAATAATTAAATATTACTTGGCTTCGTTCTAACATTTACGAATATTGTTTTAAGGGATCTTAAATTAAATTTAAACTTGTAAATTTAATTGCAAAAATAATTAATTAATCGATTAGGTATTGATATAGGGTGTTGTGGGGTGTTAACCTTCTTCATGTGTAATCGATTTTTAAATTCTATTTTTGGTAGCATAGACCTCAAATTTGTTTTTTAATTAAATTAAATTTTTTAAAATGACGAATTGTTTTTGGGTGTCTAATCAATACCTTTTTATTTTTAAAAAGGAATTCTAAATTTTTCGAATCGAGAGATTTTTTAAAATTTCTTACTTTTAATTTAATTAAAAAAAAAAAAAGATAATTAAAAAATTGTGTTTTTCAAAATCTCAAATGAAAAAAATCATTTCGACATTACTAACCTGAGTTTTGGGTATTATGAAACGAGACTTAAAAAGGGTATGAAAATGTTCCTAGTACAATAAAAATAAGCTTGAATCCATTTGGTAGGTTTAGATTCCAAGATCGTTCTTAAACCCTAAAACAAACCCTACCTCTCCCATAGAGAATATGAAGCTTAAATGAAAGCTCTTAGATTTCTAGAGCTAAATCTTACCTTTTTAATCCAAATCCTCATAAAAATGGTCAAGCTTTAACCTTTGAGATGTGGGAGTTTATTCGTGGAAGAGAGAGAGAAAATGAGGAGAAAAGAGAAAATGCATTAAGCTTTTGCGCAAGTAACTATCGTTTGACTTAGCCAAAATTTCAAGATATTAGCCTAATTTTCAACGATGATATACTCATATTTTGGTCATTTTTCATTTGACTTTTATTAAAAATCTCATTTTTATGGTTAATTGGATCTAAATTACTTTCAATTAGACTCACATTTAACGCATCTATTCCAATTATCTTGAGTCAACCCTTATACGTTGACTCAAAAATTCAAATAGATAAATAAGATATCATCTTAATGAAAAAGAAAAAAATCATGAAAAAGAAAAAAAACTAAAAGAAAAATATAAATGATACGAGCCTATTTATAGGCTAGTAAAATCTTAAGACTAAAATAGATCACATATAGGTGTATTTGAACTAAACTAGGATTAAAAAATAGATAAATAATAAAGAAGGTGTAAAATAGGTAAATAGGATCTTATCTTAATTAAAAAGGGGGAAAACTAGTTTAGATAAGCTGAAACATTATAGTTGATAGCAATTGAGTCTTTAGGATGATCTAAAACTCTTTTAAAAATCACTCTTCGATATTCTAACATGTTTCAGAAGGTTCTTCAACTTGAATCTTTGTTAGAGCTTATACTATTTGGGCTAGATACCAATTTTTGACTCTTTTAGTCTTTCGAAGATGATCAGCTAGCCCTGCATAACCCATGTCTTGAAGCCCATTCACAACTCACCTTCTAAAACAACAACAAGGACTGGATCATCACTGCTATCAATATCACCCATACCATCCTCATCACTTTTATCTATTGATTGGAATAATGATGGTTGTTGCCGATACATATTTTCTGGTTTAGACAATAATTGCCTTATGTATGGATCTTTTTCTCTAGAAGGAGAGAGACAAGTCATGAGTAGAGAGAATAGTTCCATATTCTTTTATATTTTTTTAGTACGAGAGATTTTATAATGATCCTGAATGATGTTTTATCGTTGTAGAGTTATGATGGTTACTCGGAGTGTTAAAGTGTAATATGAGAACATAGAAAAATTAACTTTCATTTCTAACACACATTACAATATGTTTACACATATATATAACCTTTCAATCTAACTGCCTAACTAACTTAAAACTACTTGTAACAAACTATCAACAGAAAAAACTGATTAGAAACTCAACACTACCCCTCAAGTTGGATGTTGAAAAACATTTTCAACTCCTAACTTGGATAGCAGATAACCATGCAACTGACTTCCCAAGGCCTTGGTCATGATATCTGCAAGCTGCTCATGTGTTGAAACATGTTCTGTTTGAATCATCCCTTCTTGTATCTTTTCTCTCACAAAATGGCAATCAATTTCAATGTGCTTTGTCCTTTCATGATTCACTGGATTAGCTGCTATTTGAAGTGCATCTTTGTTGTCACAGTGAAGTTTTACAGGCTTCAGACCCTTTATGCTAAGCTCTGCAAGCAAACATTGCAACCACACCAGCTTAGAAGTGACCACTGCCATAGCTCTATATTCTGCTTCTGCCGAAGACCTTGCTACAACATTTTGTTTCTTTGATTTCCACGAAACCAATGAATCACCAATCTTAATGCAAAAACCTGTCACAAATTTTCTTGTCATTGGACATGATCCCCAATCTGAATCACAATAGGCTAAAAGTTGACAAATCAAAGAGGATTTTAACAAGATTCCCTGTCCTGGTTCATTCTTGACATATTTAACTACTCTTAAAGCTGCCTCCATATGAGACGTCTTAGGTTGCTGCATGAATTGACTAAGAAGATTCACTGCATATGTAATATCAGGTCTTGTATATGTCAAGTAAATTAGCCTCCCAATAAGTCTTTGATAAACTAACTTTTCAACTAGATTGTGTTCATCTTCATTATTCTGCTGCACAATCTTATCATAGTCCAAAGTAGTCAACTTCAGATTCTGCTCCAGAGGAGTAATAGTAGGCTTTGGTTCCTCCAAACCAGTATATTTGATTAACTGTAGTGCATACTTCCTTTGATTCAAAAGTATGCCTTCTTTTGACCTCAATACCTCAATTCCTAAGAAATATTTTAACTCCCCCAAATCCTTCATCTTAAAATGGCTATTCAACATTTGCTTCAATTCAACAATCAATTCACTACTATCATCTGTGATTAGCAAATCATCAACATAGACTAATAACAAGGCCATTTTACCTTGATGTCTCTTGATGAACAATGAGTAGTCATACTTGCTTTGAACATAACCAGTTGAGACCAATGCCTCTGTTAATTTTAGATTTCACTGCCTGGAAGCATGCTTGAGACCATACAATGATTTTGCAGTCTACACACAATCCTCTCCCCCTGACTGCAAAAACCCTTAGGTAGTTGCATATAGACTTCCTCATAAAGATCTCCTTGCAAAAAAACATTGAATACATCCATTTGCAACAATGGCTAATGAAAAATAGAAGCAAGTGCGAGAATGGTTCGAATAGTAACATTTTAACCACAGAAGAAAATGTGTCAACAAAATCAATTCCCTCATGTTGATTATAGCCTTTAGCAACCAAGCGAGCTTTATATCTCTCAACCTCACCTGATGCTTTGTAATTAACTCTATAAACCCACTTACATCCAATAGGAACTTTTCCTGGTGGTAATGGAATAAGGGACCAAGTTCTATTAGACTCCAATGTATGTATTTCTTCTTTCATAGCTTGAACCCAAAGTGGATCTTGAACAGCCTCAGAATAAGATTGAGGCTCAAAAATTTGAGAGATGGAAGACAAGAACACTTGAGTATGAAGTGGTAAGTGATCATAAGAAAGAGAACTGAAATTTAAAGAAGAGATTGACAAGAGCAGACAAAATTATTTAACCAAGTAGGAGGCTTAGATACTCTAGAGGACTTCCTAGAAAGAACATGTGCACTTATTGAAGCAAAAGACTGAACTGAAATTTGAGAGGTGTATTCATCATTAGTGGTACTCAACTTAGTAGGATTATTATGAAGGGAGTTAGAATGTTGACATGGAGTATTTAAAACCAAGAAATCATCATCATGAATAAGGGTAGTAGATGGGAAGAATGTTGGATCAGAATTATAAAAAGAAGAAGATTGATGAAAAGGAAACTGATTTTCATGAAACTTAACATCCCTACTGATGAATAGTTTTTTAGAGTCAAGATTAAATAGCAAATAACCTTTTTGGGTTGGAGAGTATCCCAAAAAGATAGAAGCAAAGGCTCTAGCATCAAACTTATCATGAGGTGTAAGATTTGTTGCAAAGCAGAGACACCCAAACACTTTAAAATGTTCATAAGAAGGAGGTTTATGGTACAATAATTCAAAAGAAGTTTTCCAAGATAGGACTGAAGAAGGCAACCTATTGATAATATAGTAAGCAGCTAACACACATTCTCCCCAGAATTTAAAAGGGACTCGAGACTGAAAACGAAGAGCCCGAGCAACTTCTAAAAGATTCCTATGTTACGTTCTGCAGCCCCATTCTGTTGAGGAGTGCTTACACAAGTACTTTGATGGATAATTCCTAAAGATGCAAACAAGGGAGAACACTCAGAGTTAAAAAATTCATGACCATTATCACTACGAACAATTTTAACTGAGACAGAAACTGATTCTGAACCATTAAGATAAAGGTTCGAAGACAGGAAATAACATCATTCTTAAGCCTCAATAAGTACATCCAAGACATCCTAGTGTAGTCATCTACAATGGTTAAGAAAAAACGTTGACCAGCATGAGTAGAGATTCGATAAGGCCCACACAGATCAATATGAATCAATGTGAAGGGAGTAGTGGTCCTGGAATTGCTAACTGGAAATGGAAGCCTAGATTGTCTAGCTAAAGGACAGATAGAACAATTTTGAACAGATTCATGATGCAAATTCTCATTATGAAACGTAGGCAATTTTTTTAGTTGAGAAGCTGGAACATGTCCTAAACGAGCATGCAAAAGATTTGTTTTATTTGCATCAACAGATTTACAAGTATTGAGAAAAATTTCAGAACTAATAAAAGGTGTACTGCATCAACAGAATGTTCTAAGGCAGAAACAGAAAAAACAGAATTTGATGGAAACCTGAGCATGTATAGACCTCTATATTCTTTACCAATCACCTTCATCATGCCATTGCAAAGATCCTGCAATATGCAAAGGTCAGGATAGAACAAAACAACACAGTTTAACTCATGAGCCAGTTTTGAAACAGAAATGAGATTATGAGTAAAGTGAGGCACATGAAGAACATTTGATAATTGAAGACCATTTGGGAGCCTAACAGAACCTATGTGTGTGACAACAAAAGATTTGCCAGTAGGCAGCTGAACAAATTTAGGCGTGGATGTACAGGGCACAGGATTGAGCATGTATTTTAAGTCTAATAAAATATGGTCAGTTGCTCCAGAATCCAGAATCCATTCAATTGAATTATAAGTAAGAGAACAGAAGGTACCTGCCAGATTCACAGAGGAATCTGGACTGGAACTTTGAGCTGAAGATCGATTTAGAAGCCCCAGAAGCTGTTGATACTGTGCATTTGTAAAAACTGGTACAACTGGATTAGATATCTCACAATTAGAGGGAGTCACCATAGCAGCTTGGGAACCCTTCTTATTGTTGAATTTAAAGTCAGGAGGGAAGCCAATAAGGCAATAGCAATTCTCCTTTTTATGGCCCTTCACTTTACAGTGATCACATATGCCAGTAAACCATCGACGGTTGCCAGAAGCATTGGAGTACAGTGCTGTAGAGTCCACGAGAGGGACAACGCTGGACAACTGAAGGCGATGAGATTCCTCCTGACTTATCATGGAATAGGCGCTGTTGACTGAAGGTAAGGGTTGCATCAACAACAATTGACTTCAAATGGCAGTGTACGAGTCATTCATCCCTATGAGAAATTGGAACAACCTATGTTGAGAAACATGTCGTGAACTGTATTGAGCCTTGGACCATCGTGGTAATCTCACGATGACGGAAAAATATCCGGGAACCATCGACCTTATCAAAGCGCTCCTTGAGATCGGCCCAAACAAACGCTGCGCTGAGGCAAATATAATTCCAGCAGACAAATCCTTGCTCATGGAATTGATGAGCCATGACAGCACAATGGCGTTACATCTGTTCCATTGTGCTTGAAGAGAGGACTGGAAATCATTGCGGTAACAACCTCCATCGATGAACCCTAATTTATTTTTGGCGAGAAGTGCGATTCGCATAGAGCAACTCCAGACGGTATAGTTATCTGGTCCATTCAACTGATGCGAGATCAAAACCGTGCCCGGAGTATCCGAGGGATGGAGATACAACGGGTGATTGAAATCGAGACGCTTTGATTCGGTCATCGGGGTTATTTTGGATGGCATCGTGACAGATGCGACGGTGAAGAAAGGTAATCTACTTCAGGAAGAGGAAACAAATGAAGCAAGAGCAGCCCGAGAAGGAAGAAAGGCCCAGTGAAAATGGGTTAGCCTGATACCATGTTAAAGTGTAATATGAAACAGTAGAAAAATTAACTTTCATTTCTAACACACACATTACAATCTGTTTACAGATATATATAACCTTTCAATCTAACTACCTAACTAACTTAAAACTACTTGTAACAAACTATCAACAGAAAAAACTGATTACAAACTCAACACGGAGATTATCAACTTATAGATTTGACTCATTAACAATATATTTTAATTATGACATATCATTTAGATGTCTGCTAGAGATAGTGTCAAGAGATCGAAACATCTTGAAGATAAAAAAAACTTTCAAGTCTTTATGTTTCGAGAATTTTCTTGAACTTTTAATTATGTAAAAGTCTTAAAATATTATTGTTTAAATATCTTTCTTACGATTAAAATTCAAAAGAAAACATCTAATCTTGTGGAGAAATAATCAAAAGAATTCAATAATTCTTAACCTCTCTTCATGACTATCCAATTCCAACGCAACCTGCGAGCCTGGCCGATCCAGGGAAGAGGCACGTCATACTTTCATCACAAACCTAAATACCCTCAGAACCATACGAAGTTTCCATAAGATATATATGTGTTTGTTTACTTTGTGTTTATTCCATTTTTCATTTTCGTTTTCATTTTTCATTAAATAATGAGATGAAATTCTATACATTTCATGTATAAGCTGCAAAAATACAAATTAATTTAATTTCAGATGTAAAATAATGCTCATCTTATATGAATCAAGCAACCTTAATGATTAATGGACTTATTATTATTTCTCGAGGTTTCAAGTCTCTGGTTCGAGCACCGAATATGTCAGAAGTATGAGCGTTCATTGTTAAATGGTTGAGAATCTTCTAAGAGATACTACATTGTATACACCCTAGATTTATCAAAATAATAATAATAATGCTCATCCCAAATTAGTTGTTTATAGAAAAAGGGTAAACTACACTGTGATCCTTTATGTTTTTGGTCTGTTCGATTTTGGTCATCGATTCAAAAAAGATCCTTCTGGTCCCTTACGTTATCGATTTGATATATTTTGGTCCCTTGATCTCTAACTCTTGTTACCCAGTAATAGAAGTTCCCGATTATTATGTTGGTGGGATTTTTTCCAATTATGTTGTTGGTCTGAATCCTAATAATCAAGTATTGTATTATTTGTAACATGTCTTGAGGAAACCTCAGAGAGGGAGGACATAATTTGAAGATCGTTTAGGGCATAGAGCGTTTATTGGACTTATTGATACATGCACCATAAGCCCAAAAACTAAGGAAGATGGGCTCATTCTTCCACAGGGCCCAATCACAAGGTAACGGGCCAAGCTACTCAATGACATGCTCCAGACTATAGTCCAGACCTTTATAAGCAAGGGTCTACACGCCCACATGGAGATTGAAGATTTCAAGGAAGGAAACTTATTCCTCATTCCGCCCACATCAACTTGGATCACCACAACCTAAGTTACTTCTGAGCCCAATTGCAAGACCTATGAAGATATGCCCGAAAATGAGTTTAAACCACCTTAGAAGACAAAGACCTTGTAAAGTTACCCATGCTAAATCTATAAATCATGAGATAAATCATTTTCTTAGGGTTTAGTTATTTTATTTTATTTTATTATGATAAGGGTAAATGGGTAATTGATTGTAAACCCTTGATAGCTTATCATCATCCACTTGTTATCACACTATGTCGTCTATCATAAGCCTTGATAGCTTAT